AAATCATATTTATCTTTCATTCATCAAAGCAAGACACTGGTCTCTCTTCCCTTTTCTGTATGGTTTGTAATACCTAAAGGAAGAGAAATCAGACGAGTCAAATTCTTGGGTGTTTATGCTCATGTTAGTTTTCCCTGCTATCCAAATACCATCCTATGGCCACCGTATCCATGTTTAAGTTAATAAGACAAATTAAAGAATAAACTAGAAAAAAACACTTGGTTGGACACTAAGCAAGCAAACAAATATATAAAATGGAAAAGTATATGCACACATACACACACCACACACTCATACACATATATACATACATACACACACATACATGAAACACACACACACATGTACATTTCAGAGAAATAGATAATTTACATTGTATTGTTCACCCAAAGTGAAGTAATCAAGACACTTCTTCCAACTCCTTCTGACTTAGGACTTTGATATTAAGCTCCTTGCTAGCATAAGTGAGCCAACACCTTGGAACAAAGTAGTTGTTTTTCTTTATCCCTGAGCTGTCTCCATTTCTTTCTTTTCATGGCACCATCTTGGCCTCTCTTTACTCACAGACCTCTTCATAAATGTTCACTTAAGCTCCTCATGTAAATTTAGGAGCCTTCTAATAATCAAGATTAGTAATCAAGATTAAGTTAATTGTTCACCCTTTCTCTTCTGTGTAGAAATAGTTACATTGGTTAATATCCATAAGATATAGGAGAAAAGAGATATGAGAAAAGAGATATATAACTGTCCTATTTGGAAACACATGGACACTTAGGAGCACTCGGACCAAAATGGAGTATCTTCATTAAAGTCCTCCAGTCAAGGTTCAGGGATCTATGCTGAAGAAAAGGCACCTCTCAGAACCAGAGGTGGATCTTCCAGACACAATAGGGCTGGTGCATGTATGAACTCTCAGACACAGTGTCATCATGGACAGTCAGACAAAATTCTAGCACTGTAAAGAGGAGTAGATACAAACTCCCACATCTACAGAGAAGCTATTTGCAATTGATAACTTTGGGAAAGGGAAATTTAGTTTTTTTTCGTTTGAGTATCACTGGATGGATCAACCATACTTCAGGACAGGCTCCATGCCCTGGAGTAGTTGGCCAGCAGAAAGCAGACTGTGTTTTGTTTGTGAGCTTCTTGTTTTGTTTTGATTTATTTTGTTTTATTGATTTTGTTTGCTTTGTTTTTATTTTTTGAGAGATGGAGAAAAAAGTGAGAGGAAGAGATAGAGAAATAGCATGAATCTGGGTGAACAGATATGCCATAAATAACAGTATGATCTGGCTGGAATATAGACACTCTTTTAATCCCTGAGAATGAAGGTAAGGTTAGTTTGTAGAAGGAATCAGCCATGTTTGAACATGACATCGAATTGAGGGGAAGACAAAGTGATGAATCAGGGGAAGATTTGACAGAATGAGTCAGAGATAGGATACGTGAAACTCATGAGAACAGCACAGGAAAGAGTGGCTACGGAAAGGCAGCAAGAGAAAAAGTGAAGTGTTCTGGTGTGTGGTGTGTGCATATGGTAGTTATACTGGAATAGGTTGCATAGAGAACAAGCTAGACACAAGTGAAGACAGAAGGAGCCAGAAGAGTATCAGGCCAGGCAGAACAATTCAGTCAGAAGCCAGGAGAAGCTGGATTGAATCAGTCAGCTTGGAAGATTATATTGTACAGAGGCTAGAAGCTTCCAAGGTAGACCTAGGGATAGTTAGAACAGAGAAGGAAGCCCAAGCCATATAGTTGCACAGCTTGAGTACAGCTCTCATCTTTTCCCTTCCTCTGAGACGATAAAAACGATATTTACAGAGCCCTTTGGATCATATACTATGTCGGTCTGAAATGTGTACCACGGCATTTATTGCTCCTCAAGAAACCTTTTTAGAGACTACCATTCTCCTGCCCATCCCACTGGGTGTCCTGACATATAGAGCATCAAGTTTTTCTTTCGTTGTACATGTCAGACACAGGTAACTACCTCACAATGACTACTACTTTAGAAACTGTTACGTTTTCGCTCATGCCTTTGGGGGTCATTTCACTACACAGCCCGGGCTGGCATCATATCCATGGCAATTCTCCTGCCTCAGCTTCTTGAACAGTTTTAGATTACAGACATGAACCCTTATGTTCTTCTGAGACTCACCTATTGAAAGTCTGGTTTTAAATGGGACAGTGCTCAGAATGAGCTTTGGGAGCAGTACTGGATCATGAGGAATCACCCATTACCAACTAATCTTCCGATTGATTTGTGATTCAACATTATTATTGATATATGATAGAAATGATTACAGGAGGTAGGTTATAGTTGAAGGAAATAGGTCACCACAGACAAACCCTGGAAAGCTGTCCCTTGGTCCTTGTCCCTTCCTGTTATTCCCTGTTTCCTGCCACCATGAGCTGGGCAGTCTCTGCAGCATGTTCCTTCAGCTATAATGCCCGGCCCATCGCAGACTCAAATAATTGAACCAGCCAACCATACAAGGCATCTATGAAACTGAGAACCAAAGTTATTTTTTTCCTCCTTTCAAGTTGCTTCTCTCAGGTATTTGTCACTGTGACAAGAAAAACTGACACAGATGTCTGTAGGGCTGACATCACAAGCAAAATCAAGACAGGAAGAATGCTAATTTAACATCTGGTTTTGATACATATGCATGATCTTTCATTCAACAACTTCACAAGTTAGATACTTATGCCACTAAGAAAATGAAGACACATGAAGGTTAAGTAATTTGTGCAATCACTGTGGACTGTCATGGATGACAAAACAGCCCTTAGAGAACTGTGGGGTGTGGTAGCATTTATTAATAAATTTTGAGTAGGAACATATCTACACTACACTATTACAAGGTTATTTATATTACAAGTAATACTTCATTTTGTAGAGATTAATTTAAGATTGAAATATTAGAGTAGAACTTTTTGATGCTGGGAAAATTCAAATTTTTTCACTTGAAAATGAGATTAAGCCAGGCAGTGGTGGCACACGCCTTTAATCCCAGCGCTTGGGAGGCAGAGACAGGCAGATTTCTGAGTTCAAGGCCAGCCTGGTCTACAGAGTGAGTTCCAGGACAGCCAGGGCTACACAGAGAAACTCTGTCTCAAAAAAACAAAAAGAAAAAGAAAATGAAATTAAGTGCAAATGAAGACATATGGATTTATGGTGCTCCTATATCCCCAGAATAAGAGCTTACACTGGAGCTTGTGAAGGTATGCTAAAGTATCAGTGAAAGCTGCCAGTAGAGGTAAGGAACTATACATGTCACACCAGGTCCTGCATCCAACTGTCTATTTTTTTTTTAAAAAAATCATATACTGTTCCTGTAAGTACTGTGGACCAGCGTCCACATGCATCCGGATATGGAGCATAAACTAATGAATATTTGGTGTGACTCTTTTCCTTAAGGCATGTCTAATGCCCCAATCAATAATCATCCGCACAACAGTCAAATGGATGCATTTATGTAATTAACAGTGACTCCACTCCTCCAGGGGAAAAAATCAAACGCAGTTACTTCAGCCTATTTATCAATTAACTGTAAAAGCCTGTAGCAGGCGTGCCGCTTACAAAGAGATGCATGCCATCTGACTGGAAGCTAAAGGAGCCAGATCCACTTTAAATACACACGAACTCTGTAGACAACTATCTCAAGTTAGTTTTGCATGAACACTAATGATAGAATGAGATTTATTAACCGTTCCTGTATAGAACTCCACACTGTCTGAAGGTGCCAGGAAGGTAGAGGACCCAGGTACAAGCAGTTTGTAGCTAGATGGTAAGAAAATAAGATTATTTTAAAAATAAAATCTATTATATTTATTACATAATATAGTATTACCTTGAAGTTATAAATTATGGGAGGGTGAAACCCAAAAGACTAGCCCTACCCAAATACAAATACACTGATAAATACACAGGAAACCCAACACTATCAGAAGGAAGTTAGTCATCACCAAAGTTAGGACTGTAGTCAGCTTTATCTGGGTGAACAGCATCAAAATGTGAATACCCACCGCCAAGAAACTTGTGCAATTATAATTTAAATGGAAGCCTTTCCTAGACCCGCACTTTTTAATATTTTTTGAACACTTGAAATACAGCTGGTGAGACTAAGGAAGTGAATGGTTACATTTATTTAATTTGAGTTATTTTAAGCCTAAATAGTTAGTTATACATGACTATACGACTGTAAAATACTGATTTAGAGGGAAACGTCTATCATACTGTCTCAGTTACTCTGAAATGTGAATTTCATACCTCAAAATTACTACGCAAAACATAATATGTAATACCTCAAGTAATGTCATTTAGAATCTATTCACAAATTTAGAGAAGGATCAATTTGAAAATAAAAAAAAATGTGCCTTTAGAAATTGAATATGTACAAAGAAGTTCTTTATATATAGTAGTTTATGGTGTATTTCCACGCATAGTTGAGTTTTCTAGAAAAGATGTTATTCCCCTACAAGTGCACCCCAAAATAGTAACTTCAAAACATTAAGATGGCACCTCTTAGTTCCCTGAATGACAGGAAGCAAAATCAGTAAGAAACTCTTCTCACTCAAAACTGGAGCTGGCAGTGGAGGTTTGTTAAATACATTTTAAGGAAAAAAAAAAGTACAACCTTCCACAGCCTGCATTTCTACCCGAGAGTGCTCTGGGTGTCCAACCTCTAATCTTGGAACACAAACCTCTTCACCTGCGTCTCTGACCTCAGCACGCTCAGCACGTGGACCTTAAAAGGCAGCAGGCATGTGTCCACCGGGGACCACGCGCCTCTTAAGTGCCGCTCACAGGCTTGCCTGAAGGGGCATGGAGGCGCCTGTGCGTCTGGTACGCAGGGACCTGGGAGCGCAGCATCTCCGCGGCAGGCGTCCCGGCGCATCTCTCCAGCGCAGGTGCGCCTGGGACAGCGGTCCCCCAGCCCAGCATCTCCGGGCAGGCAAGCACCGGGCGCGCATCTCAACCTCCGAGCCGCGCTCACCTTTCTCGCTCACGCTCTCGCTCTCCAGCTCCACGTCCTCGCAGCTCGTGTACTCCGGCGTGGACACGCCCTCCTCCTCGGAGCTGCTCACCGACATCTGTCGCCTCTTGCCTCCCCGCTTGGGCCGGTGCGGCTTGGGCGGGGATGGCCGCACGGACTCGGACTGATCGGAGCTCAGCGAGTCGTTCCGCAGCATGCTCTCTGCCTTCTCTCTCTTGGCCTTGCGCAGGAGTACGGCCGAGCCCGGGTCCAGGCGGCCCTGCTTACGGAGCGGCTCGGGAACGCGCGGCTCGGGCGGCTCTGCGGGACCCGGGGTTGGCCGCGGCGGCGGCGGCCCGTGCTCGGCCGGAGGCTGGGCGGCGGGTGCGCGTGCGCGCGGGGACTCCGGGGGAGAGACCCTTGCGGTGGCCGGCGCGCGCTTGCCCACCGTGGCCTCGGCCGGCGCGGCGGCGGCAGCCTCAGTGTGCGGGAGCGCCACGTCGCTGTGGCGCCGCTCGTGCCTTGCTCGGGACACCCGGGCGTGCATGCGCATCTGCTGTTCCTCCGGCGGCGCCTTCACCGGGTAGCGAGCCAGGTTCGGGTCGCTGCGGTACCTAGTCTGGTACTCCTCCTCCTTCCTCTGCTTCTCGTCTTCCGCCACCCTGCCATCTTCGCGTTTCTCGGGCCGGTCCGGGTAGTCCTGAGAGCGCCCTTTCTCCAGTCTGCGGGTTTCCCGCCTCTCCTTCCTTTCCCGCTCATCCGCGGTCCCTTCCCCGGGTTGCACCACAGACTTGGGGACACGTTTGCGCTCGATCTTCGGGCCTCCCTTGCCATTCTGCTCCGAAAGCCCTGGAGCCTTCTTCCTGTGATGCGCAGAGAACAGTTGAAAACATTTAAGCAGCACACCAAGAAACATTCTTGTCCCAGCATTCAAACCCTAAATTAATTATTTCATATAATTAGTTCGAATCCCGTGTCTACTTGCAATTTGAAGTCAAGAACCAGATTAAATTTGTGTACCGAATAAGATTGAAAATGTGACCCCTTTGCTTTACAATAGGATCAAAAACTTCTTTTCAGCTTTTAAAATTTGAATTTAAATAAAAACTGTATTAATTCAATAGGCACATTTTATGCTTATATCTCTATGGCTTAAAATGTTTCACATAGAAATAATATGGACAATAATAGCATAATACTGAAGATAAGCATACATCACTACAAGATCAAGTGTGTTTTCCAGTTGAACATTGCATCCTTAAAATTCTTGTTTATCAAGGAAACTTTTTAGAATTACACGGGTGCTAACTTCAGAAATCAAATCTCTGATAACAGCAAACCCATTTTGATGTGATTATGCCTAAACCTTTCTTTTGTAGCGTTAATCATAGAGCAATGGCTAAATCATATCTTATATTTTAACTTTCTCAAGTAACATCAATAGAAACACTGATATTTGTGTGTTTGTCTGTCTGTTACAGTACTGAGACTCAAAGCCAAAGCTGTGTGCATTGCCAGGCAGCCCCTCTACCACTGACTATCCGCAGCTCAGACATAATGCAATGTTTAAAACTGCTGTTCCTTCTCGCTCATCCTTCATCCCTCCTTGTTTCCAAAGAGAACCCCAAAGAAGAAATTAGTTTTTAAATCTTTCTTTAAATGCTTCCCCCCACCCCCGCAGGTAAAGATAAAATTAAAGGAAAGAAGTTTGGCAGGTCTTTTGAATCCTGTAAAGGTATATATACTTCAGTGTCCTCTTGAGTATTTCTCCATGCAAAGGCCCTGGCCAGGCAAGACCCTGAGGTTATGCCAGAAGTTGCTGCAAAATATTTTTGCCTTGGCTAAGCCTTCTGGACATATTTCAATGTGCAGTTAAAGTGGAGACAACCCCAGGCTTGCTTTGGAAATCTAAAGACCATGGGGAATCGTCTTCAGGGGGATAGGATTTGTCCACAAGTCCGTGTGTGCATCCGTGTATGTGTATGTGTGTGTGTGTGTGTGTGTGTGTGTGTGTCTGTGTGTTCGTGAGTGTGAGCTCACACTCACTTGTATATGTGCACACATATGTATGAATATACCTAACAATGGGAATCAGTTGTTTCTATTGTGGATTAGCAAAGTGTAGTTGCTCAGATACGTTGTGGGATGGGTGAGAGAGAGGGCCTATTGAGAACAGAAAGGGAACAAAGTGACAGTGAGTAAAAAAAGAAGCATGGTGACTTCTGCTTGAGGTATTTATATCACAGCGGCACTTCAAAATGGAAAGGGTATTGACCCAAAAGTGGATCTTCAAGTGTAAGGTTGTGGTTTTGCAATAGAAGGGGTCTGATACCACCCCATATTAATAATTAACACAGTTCTCAAAGATCCCATGATTGTATTCTTTGCCAGCATTTCATTGGGTTTTAACACTTACCTGCTAGAAGCTTATATTGAATTGATTTACTCTTCTGGTGATGCTGTAATTATTGCTTACCATGCAGAGTTCATAAGAGTGTTCAAGGAAACCCACCTGTGAGGGTGCTTTAAGTCAGCTTGAGGGTTATGCAAATAGTGGGGTTGATTCCTCCATTCTGTTTTGGGGGTCCAGCTGATGATACTTTTTCTCATCACTATCTTTAATTGTTCTGTTTCCCCTAGCTCCCGATTAATGCTCAATAACAGTCAAGAAATCCTCAGTAATTGGAGGCATCACTGTTTCAGTCTTGCTTCCCCAAGGCTTCCCGATCTAGACTCTCCCACCTCCCCCTCCTCTGCTTACACACCACTGCTTTTGATAGTGCCCATGCTGCATTTAAAATGTCAACAGGCTTTTGTACTCCTTGGCATTTTATGTAGGTTTTTATCAAGCCTAAATTGATTCCTTTTTGAAAAGCAACTCTAAATTCTCTACCAATTTTGTCATATTTAAAAGTACCGTCTTCTTATAAGTGCCAAGCTGCATCTTTAATATTTTTGTCTCCTAACATATTACAGTTTGGAATCACATGAGCCTCATCCTGTTACCCCTGCAGTACTTCTGACTTCTTTCAAAATAGTTCTGCTTACACTCATCCTCCCCCCTACTGTTATCTGTCTCCCCTCCAGTATCTGGGAATCTTGCAACTCCACAATTCCAAAGCCTTTTCTTTTGTTTCTAGAGCTTCCACAGTTCTGTACGTATTTTTCTTGCATTGATCAATCAATCAGTATCCTGCCTAATTGCCTAGGTGTCTGTCTTCCCTGGGATATTGCTTTCCCCATAATATGAGGAAAAGGATATGTCCTCACCATCTCTGCACCCTCTGGTTCCTGGCACTGAGTTTAATTATAGTGTTTGCTTAATGAGTGCTGGCTGACTTCACAGCCATATTCAGTTAGGTAGGCATAGCATGTTGGCCAGGGACCTTGTGTTTTCCTTTAATACTTGGCACACCCCTGCAAAGTGTGTTATCGCTGCCTCTTGGGACTGCCATCTAGACCTGCTTTACTTTGAAGTCAACGTGGTAAGATTACTCCTTACCCAGTGGCATAGGTAAGAGTTACACAAACAGAAGCAATCAAGCTTAGTCCAGGTCCCACCTGTTGAGGTAACCTATTTCCCACACATATTGTATCAGCTGGCTATAAAAGTGTGTCTCTACATTCACAGTTGTTAATTGCTGTGCTGGCATCTCCAGATGCTGGCAGAATATATATTTGTTCCTGCTTTTCCTGCCTAAGGCATTCTCTGATTGGCCAAGAGCAGAAGCTGGAAGAGAGGGCGGAACTTCCAGTCAGAGATAGGGACTCTGGGAGAAGAATTAAGAAGCAGGAGATTCAGCAGGAGAAGCAGAGGTGGACAGAGGATTCAGAGGGAACACAGAGATAGACTTGCGCACATAGTGGGATATAGGCCAGAATTAGCCAGGTTAGGAGGGGTCCTAAGCTTTTAAAACCTGTAAGAGTCTCCATGTCTTTATTTAAGCCTCTGGCAGGTCGGTGAAAGTCACATTCTACCACTGGTCAGGAGCCTCGTGAAAACACATCATATATCATGTTTGATGTCTCTGTTTTCCAGTGGATAGCATCAACTCAAATAAATGAATGGATGAATGAAACATTTGATGTACATTATCTGATCATATTGTCCTTTGCTTATAACTTTGATGACTTTGCATTATACCAAAGATAAAAATCTATGAAAGTTAAGCTCTTTCCTTACTACCTTGTCAGTTATCTCTCTCTCTTCTTCCTCTGCTACTTGTACTCTAACCAGTGGCACCTTTAGAAAGACCTCATATAGAATGGTTTCAAAGAAAACAAAGTCTCTGATGTCCCATAATGTACTTCAGTAGGCCAGGTTCTGCGTCATATACTTGAGGACCACACGTTTCACTAAAGTGCTCATTCTGTAAATAGTGTTTCTAGAGGGTGTTTTTCAGCTCAGAGTTGGCACTTTATAACTCAAATGCTTGGCTTAACTTCTATCGGCATGAATGCAAGATATGAAAGACATGCTTCCCAATAGAGATCTCTTATGAGCTGACATATTTTAGAGGTTGGCAAAAATTCTCAGGCCCATTGCTGCCTTGAATATGAGCCCTAGGAAGTCATACTTCCACATATTCCTCCAAATAGGCTTTGGGCTCTTGATAACACATGGTACTTTCCAGCAAGCCCTCAATTCTGTTTACAGTGTTAGTGAATTATTACCTTTCCCTCGGGGGCTCGCTTCTTGACCTCGATGCCTGCTTCTGTTCAGGACCCAAGGCTTGCTGTGAGGGCTCAGGCCCTTTGTTCCTGTCCAATGGTGCACCAGGGGAAGCAGTGTCTTGGGAAGAGACAGCTGCTGTACTCAAGGGCGTCTGAGACCTTGATCGCTCTTGGAGCCGTGCTTTCTTTTCTCTTGGCACCTCAGATCCAGCACCTGTAGCCGTGTCACTCAGAGTCCCATCTTGACTGGGCTGCTGAGGGCCACTTCCAAAGAACCATGCTCCAGATTTCGTTAAGATTTCTTGTTGCTTTCGACATAAATTGCATACCCACATAACCTATTTGGAGAAGAGAAAGAGCAATATAAAGTTTCTCCATCATTTAGAAACACCTTACTTTTAGTATATTAGTATTTATCATACAAAAAGAACATGGACCTTTGGATTTTTTTTTTTGTTTTGTTTTGTTTTTCAAGACAAGGTTTCTCTGTGTAGCCCTGGCTGTCCTGGAACTCACTCTGTATACCAGGCTGGCCTTGAATTCAGAAATCCGCCTGCCTCTGCCTCCCACGTGCTGGGATTAAAGGAGTGTGCCACCACCGCCCGGCCTGGAAATTTCTTAATGAAAATATCTTTTACACAATTCAGAGTCAACTATAGCAATGTCTGGGCTTAAAGGGTGAGCAAGCAGACAAGAATATTTTTCTCATGTATCATTAATTTAATGATTCTGAGTTTCATTTCACAATATGTCTGTCATATTTTGTGTAATTGACTCTGATATTTCTTTAAACTATCTGTTACCATAAATGCACTAGGTGAGGCAGATAACGATCAGAAATTATTGTAATGAGCTCTAGAATCAGTATTTCTGTGCGTCAATTTCGGTATCTCAAAGCATTTTATAAATGTATGTCTTCTTTGCAGCATCTGTTATTAAAGTCATTCGTGAAAATTATTCACATAGAAAAAAGTCCAGAGTAAAAGAAAAAGCCAACCTAAATACTTCCTCTGTTTTTCTAGCAATGTATTAGTGTCAAGCTTTTTTATTTTATGGTATACATGGTATGATTTTTTTTCATATATGTGTTTACTAAAGCAATGCATCTGAGTCTGAATATATTAATATCTGTCAAAATGTAAGATTTCTTAAAACATCTTAGAACATTTTAACATACACAATGATAAGTGATGAAATATTGCTTAAGGTCAACGTTTGATTTTCTGCTTTAAATGACATTTAAAATTAATACAGTACAAGGACCAACACTAATTGAAAATACTGAAGAATATGAGCAATGACTAGCACTGAGGACAGAGATAGATGGTGGAATACCCAGGGGCCTTCTCTCTGAATGTGTGGAGTAAGACTGGAGAACAACTCATTGCAAAAGCATGTGCCAAAATAGTTGGAATACACTGTAATCTAGATTAAAAATGGAAGCCAAGTGAGATTGCATTACACCCTCTATCCCCATCTTTTAAACCACATAAGTAAACGTGATCACGTGTGCTGATCCTACAGATGAGTTAAGAGTAACATGGAAAGAAAGACACCCCAAACCAGAACTACCATGACAATGTCTGACTGCCCTCCTGACTCTCAGGATGAAAGAGGGATGTGCCTATGTCCTATGCCTGATAAGACACCAATAAGACCTGAAATCCTGTGGTCAAAGAAACTTGATAGGAAAGTTTTCTCACTTTACATCAACTATGGAAATTCTAGGTGAGAGTATCTTAAACATTTAAAAAGCAATTCATAGTCAGTCTTTAAGAATGAGTGCTTTTTTTCTTACAGAACAAAGCCTCTCCCTCTCCCTCTCCTTCTCTTCTTCTCTCTCCAACTCTTCCCCCCTCTTTCCCTATGTGTTCCCTGCAGGCCTCTTTCTCTCTCCTCTCTCTTTCTGTCCTTCTCTGTCCCCCACTGTCTCTACTCCTTCTCCAGCACCCCTTCCAATAAACTCTGTTTTATTCTTGGCCTGTTATATCCCTGATTCCTCAGGGAGCACCTTGGCAGGGCCCTCTAAGGTGCTCCCACCCGCTGCATTATACCGCAACATTTTGTAAGACACAACAGCCATAAGTTAAATAAAATGGCAAAAGAAAAGTAGCAATTCTGAGAAAGGATAATTTTCATTAGATAATAATAATTCTGAATACTTTCTCGAAATATTATCACAGTTTTTTTATTCCTTAATTTTAAATATTAAAAAATGGTTAATAAAAAGCAACTGACAGATTTCAACAAGAGTTTAGCTTTTGAATATACTGAACAATAAAATAGTTAAGTTCCATTTAATTTAATCTCCAATGATAAATTGGTCATAATTGCTGGAAGAAATATTCATAATTTAGATGGTTATTTTAAAATACTGTCTAATATTATTTAAGCCTGTGATGTTTCCTATGTATATCTTTTAAAATTTATGGAAAATTATTCCTTATTCCAAATTTCTCCAATGTCTTTTTTGTTCTATTTAATAATAACTCAAAATCTTCGTTTAAGAATTTTCTATGTTAGAGGAGTTAGAAAAAGAAGTGAAGGAGTTAAAGGGGTTTGCAACCCCATAGGAAGAACAACAGTATCAACCAACCAGACCCCTCAGAGCTCCTAGGAACAAAATCACCAATCAAAGAGTACACATGAAGGGACCCATGGCTCCAGCCCCATATTTAGCAGAGGATTGCCTTATCTGGCATCAATGGGAGGGGAACCCTTGGTCCTGTGGAGACTCGATTCCCCAGCATATGGGGTGTGCTAGGGTGGTGAGGCAGGAGTGGGTGAGTGGGTGTGAGTGCACCCTCATAGAAGCAGGGGAAGGGGAATGGGATAGGGGATTGTGGAAGGAAAACCAGAAAGTGAGATAAAATTTGAAATGTAAATAAATTAAAAAAACAATTAAAGAAAAGAATTTTCTGTGTTAGATGAGCTGCTTTAGGAATTTGAAACAAAATTAATAAGAAAAATATATATAATGTATAGTAAGTATATATACAAGTATATATATACTAATATGCTTGTGTTTTGAGTGATAGTAGCTTTCAATCTTTGGTTATACACATTATGCATATAATATTAGCTAGTTTAAAAAGAAATTTCTTGTATGTATGTATTAGATAGATAGTTACATTAGATACATAGATACATAAATACATGATATTGAAACAGAAAAATATACACTTTGTACAAAACTAACAGCCATGTACAATGTGATTCAGATAGTAAGTCACAACACAGTTATGTGCACTTAAGATTTTCATTTTGAATTACAATTATTAATTAAGTCTGTCTATAGAGTTTTAAATAAGCAAAAACTGGTGTGCAGAGATGCAGACATCTTTACCAGATTTCTTCTTATGAAAGATCGTAAGAACTAAATTAAACCAAAAACTAACACGCGCACACACACACACACACACACACACACACACTCTTTTTAGAAATTATACAGGTTTCAGTGACTTGGGATGTGCTCCAAGCAAGTCTAAAATAAACAATGCCTGTGTAGTAGCTATCTTAGTTCAGATGTCTAGGAATGAAGTACAAAGGGGAATAAAAAGATCTTTGTGATATAAGTGGCTTCGGAAACCCGATGATATACATCAGAAAACTGAAAAAAAAAAACCTGAAGAAATTATATACTGATCTTTTGTTCTAACGGGGCCTTAAAATTTGTGCATCAAACTTAAACATTAGGGGCAAACAATACCTCAGAAAAAAACAAAGATGAAATTTGCCTAAATAACATAAATTCCAATGCTTCTTCCTGCATAGTTTAAGAAATGTCATAGATAAAACCAAATGTTCAGTAGGAGTATAAAGACGAGCCTATGTCGGAAATTTATTACACTTGCCATGCCCTGAAGTGTTCACAGATATGTGAACTATTCCAGGGGAGAGAATATTCCACATGGAGCACCAGTGGCAAAACAAAGGAAGAATTCTACTTCAGTTTAGCTAATGAAACAAGTTTATTTGAGGTTATTACAGGAGGCAGGTGAGGGGTAACTTAAAGGAGAATGAGCTGCTATAACACGGAAGAAACTGTCTTCCTCTCCCAGTAACTGTTAACGACCTAGAAATCCTTGCAAATGGGGCAAGGTCTTGTGAGCTCAGACCTATCATCCACAAGAAAATCTATCAGTCTTTGGGGCCATCCACAAAATATCTATCAGTCTTTGGGGTAGTGGTAGGGTCTCTGATCCACCATGACAAAGGAGCACACCCTTATGCAGGTTTTCTTTTTAAAAAAAATCCCAGCTGCTGACAATTCCAGAAGACAAAAGTCGCAGAATGTCCAGAGCATTTCATTCCACAGCATCTTTACAGTTATCCGTAGTGGTGTTACTCAGTTAATTCACCATAATGAGGTCTGGAAATATATTAATAGAAATATGTTGCTTATGAAAATCTAGCTGAATTATTTATTGTAATCAAAGGTGTGATTGTAGACAAAAAATATACACATTTTTTGTATTTTTACAATTCACTGTAATATAGTACTTAAAAAAATCAGTCTACCATTTTGAAAATCTGACAAAAGTTGTTAGATTTCCTTTATATTGGTGAATTCTTTACACATCTCCCCTTCTTTCTGTAAAGGTCTGAGTAAAGCAGAAATGAGCAATAAATTATCAAGTCAATATTTCACAATGTTGAAAAAATGAATGGCAGAGTAGGAAATGGTGAGTGGTGGAATATTAATACACAGAAATGAGTGATTTCTTCTTGGTTTCTGTTTCTTTGGGAATGCGGGGTGTGTGCTTTCCAAATCTGCTGCTGTCTTACTGCTCCATTTTCATACGTTTATTCTCTCCCTTTGGAAACATTTACATATTAATATGGTTGAATCAAAGATAAAGATATAATTTAGAAACATAATTTATGCTGTTACCTTTTAATGAAAAGAACACTCTCCATTTTACTTACTCACCGAGAGAATTTTGGTTTAATCTTATATACAATTTAAAATGCCTGCATTTTTAATGTAATTTTATATATTATTATATTATTAGTTCATATGATTTTAAATGATTTTATATTTAATATGTATTAAATAGGAAGAAGGCACATAGTTTGCTCTGGTTTACCGCTGAACTCCTCATATTTTCTCACACAACACATAATTCTTCAGTAAAAACTGTTGATCAACCCCTTCTTATACTTATGACTGGTTTTTTTAGAACATACCGGAGGATACCAATTACTTGGTGAAACTTAATACATGGAAATCTTATCCCGCAACAAACACTACATAGTCATGGTTTTGTTTTGATTTTTTGGCAAACTTATTTTTCAAAAGTGATATGCAGAATTTCTGGTTTTAGAACTTCAG